AGAGTAATAGTGTGTAGCAATGACAGAGTATAAGAGTGTGTAGCAATGACAGAGTAATAGTGTGTAGCAAGGGCAGAGTAATAGTGTGTAGCAAAGACAGTGTAAGAGTGTGGAGCAAGGGCAGAGTAAGGGTGAGAGGCACTATAATAAAAATGCCCAGTGTTCATATCATATAGTACAACAAGAATCCTGTTACCATGGTTGTCTATTCACATTTCGTCAAACCCTATAACAAATATTCTATCCTATCTGTTAAATTTCAGGACTACATGTTCTTCGAGCAAAGCCAGAATAATGGGTAGTGTGATCATTTCTACAATATAACTGTAACCTAGGTTCTTGGCATTCAGAGTTATCGATGGCTGAAGAGTGCTAATAGACATTATGTTATTTGTCCTAGTTAAAAAAAAACAGTTTTTTTTAGAGATATAATGACTTTAATGACTTTCCCATCTTGTAAATATTAGTGTGGAACCATCAAATATAATATTCATCTATTATTGTATTACTAAATAGATATGTATTCGTAGTTAACAAATGAAAGTTGTTTGTTTCCAAAGATAATTGTTCACAGTCATGGATTATAATGAGCTGTTTTTATTTATACAACTGATGTACATTTATACTCTAACAATATTTTAAACATCACATGTATATTGTCTTAAAATCTATTGTAGGTATAAATGTTTGTTATTATTAAAACTTTTCTGGAGTTTAACCATGTGATTTGGGTGTATGCTTTCGCACATGAAAATGGTGATTAAAAAAATGGTCGCCAAACTATTTTGTACATGAAAATGGTGGTGTCTGAGCAATTTAACAGTGGTTTATATGGTAAACGGGTTTTGCAATACCGCTGGCAATATCCAGTCAATAGTCCACCTAGAAGCGTGTTCTTACCACTGTCAATGTCCAGTCAATAGTTGACGCAGAAACGTGTGATGCAACCAGTAACACTGGAAAAGTCCACTCAATAGACCATTAAGAAGTATGTACTGCTACCATTGCCAATAGTTGTGTATGCTACCATGTTACTATTACCAATAGTTGTGTATGCTACTATGTTACTATTACTAATATTTGTGTATACTACCATGTTACTATTACCAATAGTTGTGTATGCTACTATGTTACTGTTACTAATAGTTGTGTATTCTACTATGTTACTATTACTAATAGTTGTGTATGCTACCATGTTACTATTACCAATAGTTGTGTATGCTACCATGTTACTATTACCAATAGTTGTGTATGCTACCATGTTACTATTACCAATAGTTGTGTATGCTACCGTGTTACTATTACCAATAGTTGTGTATGTTACCGTGTTACTATTACCAATAGTTGTGTATGTTACCGTGTTACTATTACCAATAGTTGTGTATGTTACCATGTTACTATTACCAATAGTTGTGTATGTTACCGTGTTACTATTACCAATAGTTGTGTATGCTACCATGCTACTATTACCAATAGTTGTGGATGTTACCATGT